ACAGGGCTTGGGATGTGTCCTTATGCAGGACGGCCAGGTCGTCGCGTATGCTTCACGTCAGCTTAAGCCTCATGAGCAGAACTATCCTACACACGACTTGGAGTTAGCAGCAGTCGTACATGCTCTCAAGATCTGGCGACATTATCTTTACAGCGGTCGTTGCGAGATTTTCACAGATTATAAGAGCCTGCAATATATCTTCACGCAGAAGGAGCTTAATATGAGGCAGCGCCATTGGCTCGAACTTGTTAAGGATTACGACTGCTCTATTCAGTATCATCCGGGGAAGGCGAACGTCGTCGCAGATGCCCTAAGCCAAAAGCTGAAGGGTGACTTGACGTACGTCATTACTCAGCAGAGTCCGTTAAGTCGTGAGTTTGCCCGGATGCAGCTTCAGGCGATCGATGCACTTTCCATAGCTGTCTCGGGGAGTACCAGTGCCAGTGTTAGTGCTATGCAGCTTCAGCCGATGTTGAGAGAGAGAATCCGGCGAGAGCAGGCTTCTGACGAGTTTGTGCGTGTTATGGAGGCCAAGGTTCGCGCCGGAGGCGTCCAGGATTTTCAGCTAGGTGCCGATGGTGCCCTAGAGTTCAGAGGCAGGATTGTGGTCCCGATGGTCGAGGCGTTGCGGAAGGAGATTTTATCAGAGGCACATACCGCACCCTATTTGGCCCATCCCGGGAGCACGAAGATGTATCACGACCTGAAAGGGTCGTTCTGGTGGCCAGGCATGAAGAAGGACGTCGCCGAGTTCGTGAGGAGATGTCTTATCTGTCAACAAGTCAAAGCCGAACATCAAAGTCCGATCGGCCTCCTACAACCACTGCCGATTCCGAGGTGGAAGTGGGAGGAAGTCACTATGGATTTTGTTACGGGATTGCCGAGGTCGTCCGAACATCACGACACTATCTGGGTCGTGGTCGACAGATTGACTAAGGTCGCACATTTCCTACCCGTTTCGATGAAGATGTCTCTGGACAAGTTGGCTGAGATATATACCCGTGGGATCATCCGACTCCACGGAGTGCCCATCACGATCGTATCAGACCGAGATCCCAGATTCGTCAGTCGATTCTGGCACAGTTTACATGAGGCGATGGGCACGAAGTTAGAGTTCAGTTCAGCCTACCATCCGGAGACGGACGGTCAGTCAGAGCGGACGATTCAGACACTTGAGGATATGCTTCGCGCTTTGGTTGTTGACAGGGGTGCTAAGTGGGAGTCACTGTTGCCGTACGCCGAGTTCGCGTATAACAACAGCTATCATTCTTCCATTCAGATGGCTCCTTACGAGGCACTTTATGGTCGTAAGTGTCGTTCTCCTCTCTATTGGGACGACGTCGGAGAGCGGCGAATACTCGGTCCTAAGATGATCGAGGAGACAGCGGAGCAGGTCGAGTTGATCCGCCAGAGACTCAGGACAGCTCACAGTCGACAGAAATCTTCCGCTGATCATCATCGACGAGACATTCAGTTCGAGGTTGGCGAGCCAGCCTTTCTCAGAGTTCGTCCGATTCGTGGAGTTGTGCGATTCAGAAAGAGAGGATATTCAGGTTCAGCCAGATCTATCGTACGAGGAGCGACCGGTGGCTGTACTAGACCGTCAGGTTCGTCGACTCCGGAAGCGAGATATTCCCCTCGTGCGTATTCAGTGGGATCGCCACGGAGCTACTTGGGTGGAGGAATCCGATATTCGCGCTCGTTTCCTAGATTTTCAGTTTTGATGTACATATTTTGTTATCCTATGTACATAGTTCATGTATATCAGTTATGTTTTGAATTTCCGAGGACGGAAATTTTGTAAGGAGGGAGGATTGTAATATCTCGATATTTTATCGATGTAAATTATGTTTTAGTTCCGATATAATAATGTTATCGAATTATTATCGTCGGAATTAAATTATTTTCAGTCGAGATTACCGAAATTTAATTTCGACGTACCATTTACGTTCGGAATAATTTTGGTAATTAAGTATTATGTTTAATTAATAATTAAACATATTATGAGGGATTAGTTGAGCAACTAATCATCATTAAGTTAGCAAAGCCGTGAGTGTCATGGTAATTGTTCTAATTATATGCTAAGGCCGTATGTAGTGTGGGCATATGGCTTCTAATTTGCACAAACTTTCCTAAGTATTAAGAATTCTCTTTTCTCCCTAATTAAGCACGGACACGTGCCAATATTATGAGGAGAATTAGAGATTAGTCATCCCCAAAATATTTAGATTGGGAGCAAGTGTCAAGATATAAAATAGGCCAC